ATGACTGCTGAAAACCAACTATCAATCAGATAAATAAAGCAATATTTTCTTATGGCTCTGTCAGTAATCTTTAATTTTCAACAGACACAAAAGACAAATTTCCTTTATATAAAAATCCCCATAACATGAACATTAAATGAAAGAAACCGGTATTCAAGGCACCATCAGTAGCCTATATTTTCTATTTTAGCAAAAGTGGGCTAAATTTACTTCAAAGAAAAAAACAATAATAGCAATTTTCTATCATCCACTCAACTGAAATATTTTTAAAATATAATTGGATTGAAATACAATAAAATAAAGTGCAAAAATCTATTAATCAAAAACAACACTTTGTTTAAGGAGAAGTAACATGCAGTGAAAACAAATATTAAACTTTAACTTTTAAACTTGAACTGAGTAAAAACTCTAAATATGTGATTGCACAGTAATGTTCACTTGTTTGAGGTTGAGGGTGATACTTGGTGGTGTCCCATCTTTTCCACAAGTTCATCAATGTTCGGGGTAAGGCTCTGAGCTGAGGAAATCCTCAGAATTGAGTGGAGGTGTTCAGCAGTAAGTCGACTTCTGTGTGATGTTTTGTTCAGGTTCATCAAAGAAAACAGTTGTTCACACAGGTATGTGCTGCCAAACATAGACAACGTTTGAGCAGCCTGGATGCGCAGCTGGGGCATTTGTTCCATGTCCATATTCTTGTTTTTGTCCGCGTGTTTCGTTTCATAATGTCGTCTCAGATTATACTCTTTCAGTACCGCCACACTTTCTCCACACAGAAGACACACAGGTTTTCCAGCTACCTCCGTGAACATATACTCCGACTCCCACCTTGTTTGAAACCCACGGTTCTCAGTGTCCACCTTCCGTTTTGCCATTTTTGATGGGTATCTGAAAGTTAATTTTACTGTGATGCTGACGACTGCTGTGCCAATAAATATTGAAATGAAGCAGCCTACTGCTCGGTGCGTCACCGTTGCATTGTGGGAAATGTAGTATTGGTGCGTGTAAAAGATCTGCGGGCTGCCGGCCTTAGATCATGTATTTTCAGGTAGAGATACCTTGTGAAGCAACAGCTGCTCTCCATATCACCTCATGATCAAGCATTCTTCTGTCTCTTCTGTAGCAGGCCTAAAAGAAACACAGACCGGACAAGTAGATGCGCAATGGATTATGGTCATTGTAGTTAATTACCACATTTTATGCTCTAAACTATGTAGAATATTGGCCTGTTGGAAACTACAACTCCCTACTACATCGCACAGTTTAGGTTTGGATCTGATTTATCCCTTGAGAAACTGTGCAATGTGCACATTGAGCTCACAGAAAAAAAATTAACAAAATGAAATTCAAATAATTTAACCGACTTACTCAATTAGTTGTTAAAAAAATGAAAAATAACCGACATTTCAGTTAATCGCTCAGCACTATGAGGTGGACAATTATTGTTTTAGGAAAGTAAAAACCAATAAAACAATAGGCTATAAAGTTTTGCCTAAGCTACACATCGAACCACAAGGAATAGTGTTTTTGTAATTTCTTATAGGCTGTTACTAAGGACACTTAAATTTGGCTCATTTTGCCAATATCCCTCTTTTATCTATGGTGCTGGCTGCGTGGGTGGAAGCCCTAATGGGTTACGCACCCAATGCATATGGATGACGGGTAGAATTTCTCAAATGTCCGATAAATTAAAATCTTACAGGTCAAATTTTTCTAACAGAAATCCTGGTGCAGGCACACACACACACACACACACACACACACACAATGAATTGCTGTCTTACAATTAAATATCTTCCTCTTACTTTTAGATTCCAGAGATGTAGAACAACATTATGCGGGACAATATGGGGAAATGGAAGGCCATTGCCAAGTATCAAGTGAAGGGAACGTTCAACCCCTCTGAGAAGGACCTGAGACAACAAGCACTCAGGTAATACTGAGTCTGGTGACATTAGTAAAGAGACTGAATGAGACCAAAATCCATAAGGGAGAATGAAACCTTGGAGCGGATTCAAGACCTGCTATTGTGCATCTCTGTTACAATCTATTCTCTGCTTGCATATGAATAATCTCTGCTAGGTTGGCCCAGACCCATAACCTGGATGTGATGGAGAGTTTGATCCCTGAGAAGCCCAAGTGTGGAGCGTGTGGGGCCGAGGCTTCTAAGTGATGCTCCCGCTGCCAGGGAGAATGGTACTGCCAGAGGTAAGACTGTTCACACTGTAGCACTACAGGGAAATTTTTCTCCTTCAATAAATAAATATCAAGAGAATGGTGCTGCAACTTTTTTTTTGCTAAATCTGTTACTAGTCTTGCAAAGAACGTGTTGATGTATTACAAGAGATTGTACTCAAAAGACCATGAAAAAACCATTACACCCCATGTGCTCAGGAGGTTCTAGTGTGTAGCCCACAGCAGCTGAATTAGATTCTATGTCGGGGTGTCAAACTCAACTACAACAAGGTCTGGAGGGCCACACTGAAAATTGGTTGTATTTCCTTGCCGTCAAAATTAGCAAAAGATAGTCCCTCTATCCAGCGTTTTTGTAATTTTCGGTACTCCCTGACTGTCTAGCTTTAATTTCGGTCAAGACTGTATAAATGTAAGTCCATTACATTTCTACACAGTTTGGATTTGGTTTTAGTCATTTTAAAGTATATTGAGTTGTTTTTTTGTTTTACTCAGACCACTTGCAGGCCGGATTGTGGGCCATATGTTTGACACCCCAGTTGTAAGTGTTGCTGCTCTGTATTTGTAGGGAATGCCAGATGAAGCACTGGGCCAAACACAAGGTGGCCTGCCAACTGATGGCTGAAGCCACAGAGAAGCTCCAGAAGGACTTGATCATAACTCCTGAAGAGAGAAAGGTGGACATCAGCAACATATTGAACTGAATGATGGGAGAGAGAACAGAGGTCTTACGTAGTGACAAGTGAATGGACAGATATGCACCTACATGCCATTTGGGATGGGATTCGAATGCAGTTGTTATGGTTTTGGACTGTTAATGTTAACCTTTGAGGTTTGTCTGGCTCAATTCAATTCCAACTTCTTGATTGTACTAATGCAAACGTTGATGGCTTTATTCCATTACAATGATAATCTAACTCATTATAGGAAGGGTTAATGGGATACTTTGGGATTTCAGCAATGAGGCCCTTTATCTACTTCCCCAGAGTCAGATAAACTCGTGGATACCATTTGTATGTCTCTGTGTGGTAACCACGAGTTCATCTGACTCTGGGGAAGTAGATAAAGGGCCTCATTGCCAAAATCCCAAAGTATCCCTTTAAGGTAATGAACTGCTAAGCCTTCATTATCAAGCAGAGTGTATATCCCTTTGATCTCAGACCTGACACTGAGTGGAACTCACAGGTTGAACCTGGGAAGGAGCAGAACTCAAGACTTGCTAATTAAATTGTAATAATGGGCTCCTCATTAGCTTGTCATTTTACAAGTTGTTTGGTACTTTTTAGACCATTCTAACAATTAAATAGGCCTATGCTTCTGTTATAGATGTGAAATAGAAAAATGTTTTACAAGAAAAGTTTGTGGCTGCATGTGTTTTGACTCATCATCATGGTCAGTGATCCTGTGATCAGAATCTGCCTATTGTTCAGGTAACTGCAAGGTATCCATTTCACGGGTTGTATTTCAAAGTAACTTTACCCACTTGATTGTTTAGACTCTGCACGCCTTGAACTTGTAAAAAAAAGGTGTGCCTGTGGTGTCTTTGACTCATAGAAGTTCACAAGTTAACTCACAAACATATAATTACATATACTGTCAATGGATGATTAGGCAAAGTATTATGCTTATGGTAGTTTTTAATTGAATGTCACTGTTTAGTCAAATAGCGTAAAGATACACAGTGTTCAACCGCGATGGAGGGGTGGGGGATTTACACAAACACACCTACCGCGCCCGCTCTACTGTTCAAGACTCAGAAGCACCCCCTATGTGAAAACAGTCCGGATGTCAAGAACAGTTGTCTGCTCTTCACTTTCTCGTCTTTCTCTCCTTTGCTTGTCTTGTTATTGCATCACATGTTGGGGAATAGGGTGATGGGGTCGTTATAAAGTTAACGTGCTGCTGATCATCTCGATTTTTGGAATTTGTGTTTTTCTGTTATATAGCCGATAATACATTGTTTCCAGCCCAGACGAGAAACTGCACACCTCTGCTCCGTTATTCGTAATAACTTCTATGGAAACTTGGTACGATAGAAGAACGTCGGGGACGAGGCATCGGCCGCTGCCGGGATGGATCCCTGTTTTGGTAAATTGTTAAACTTTCAAAACAAGTCTATAGCACATTTTATGAATTATGTGAAATAGGCTCGAGTCGGTCCCTTGCTTCTCGTGTTTCTAGGCTACCCTCCGTCCCTCTCCCCCATTATAAATCTTCATCTGTGATGCTACACAGCTGCATATAGGCCTAGTTGAGAATTATTATTCACGACGTGTTTGAAGCAGAATGTTGGTGATCTATTCGATTATATAATCTGACATTTGATGGGATGCAAATGAATTTAACTAGTTATCTTGGCATTTAACAATAGACGGCAACGTGCTCCGTTATTAAAACAATAAAACACACTGGACACTTTTAAGATAGCCTTAAACTCTTATCCTTTTTTAAAATAGCCGATTAGACCACTTTATTGATGCAGCAAATGGCAAATTATATTTAAGTACTAACACTAACCATTTTATGTCGAGAAACAAAGACTTCATTCATACTCATTAGGCTAAAGAATAGGCTACAGTATTTAGCCATGGTTTCTATAGTAAGGGATGCATAGCTGTATGGGAAGTTCTCCCCACAATTGAAGGCTAGCAACAATGTACTACTGTAGGCCAATGTCCTGTCCTTGAGTTGGTGCTTCATGATTGGTGATCCTGGATTGAGGTTGTGTATTATTATTTTAGTCACAGGTGTGATGATTGCCTCTGAGTGAAGAAGGAACTGAAGCTGTGACTGAAGCTGTGACTGACAGAATGTCTTGGGGTGAGTTCATTGAGCTCCGTGAGTTGAGGCTGCATGACAATGACCAGATAGAGCTGACCAGCTGCGAGGTGCCTCGCTCACCACCTCGCCTAGAGCGGGCCAATGCCCTGCGGATCAGCCCAGGGAAGGTCCCAGAGCTGCTCAGACGGGTGGGCATCATCCGACTGCTGGGGGACAGCCTGGACCCACGGCTCACAGATGAGAGGGGAGAGGGACATGACTTCCAGCCCTGCAGCCATGCCCAGCCCACCTGGTGTGACCTGTGTGGAGACTTCATCTGGGGACTGTACAAACAGAGCCTGCGCTGTGCCAGTGAGTCTGCCTCCAGCTGCTGCACAGGATTTACTTGCATGATTATGATTAAGATTGCATGTCTGCATACATGTATGTCACAGGCGGCCAGTGGCACCTTAATTGGGGAGGACGGGCTCATAGTAAGGGCTGGAACGGCATTAATGGAATTGTATCAAACATACATGGTATGTGGTTGATACCATTCCATTCATTCCATTCCAGCCATTATTATGAGCCGTCCTGCCCTCAGCAGCATCCTGTGATATGTAGGCCTATGTGCATGAGTGTTATTGGGTTTAACTATGGCTAGCCTATGAGAATGTGTTTCAAGGTAGTCTACACCAATGTAATGAAACAGGCAGGGAGTGTGGCGCGAACCCTCGACCTTCTGGTCCGTGCCCCGCGGAATTCGAAAGCATGGTCAAGTGGCAGAGTCGATATCCGCACTTATAGACCAGGGTCGCAACAGTATTATATAGCCTGTTTGTGTGTGCATAGGATATACTGTATGTGTGTTTGTTTATGTATATGCCAGGCCGTATAGCTTTAGGTCATTGTTCCTCAGCTGGACTAACTGGGCTTTTTGTGAGACTGGCTCTATTCACAGGACTCAGTATTCATTAGGCCTGAATAGGCTTTAATGAGGAGTTTCTGCAAAGAGGGACATTACCATTCCCAGCAGCAAAGAACCAGCTGAGAACTGAACCGCTCGCCTGTAAATCCCAGACCCTGTTTTAGCTCTGGAGTACTTGTCAAAACAAAACTCCCAAATTCAGTCAGCTGTTGGCGGCAGTCTATTCATGAGGGCTTTAAGATTGATCTAGTGTTTTTTTGTGTCTTTGTTGGTACATGCTGTCGGTTGGTTGGTATCCTGCACCACTTTCCTCTTGCATAATCTTCAAAGTTTACACTATGAACTTCCTTTCCTCTGGCTGAAACCTGCCCTTTGTATTGTTATGTGTGGCCATTACATGTGGGGAGAGATAATTGTCTGAAGTGTAGCCTATGTCTGAAGTTTATTGGGAATATGCTGGTAAAATCTCATGAATACACCTGTTTATTTGTCAAAGAATCCATCTACTGTCTAGCAATACTTGTCTGATCATGTCCTGTTTGATTAGTTAGTGACCAAATTGAAGTCAAATTAGTCTGTGACTGGTTTTCTCTGTCAAATGTGTAATGACTCCCTGTGGCCAGTGGAGGAGAGCAGATAAATTAGAATCCCAAAATGTCCCAAAACTGGAGGGAGGGAACGGAAGGGATGTCCTAAAATTATCAAATGGAAGTTTCTGTGCCAGTGCGCACCACTTTTTTTCATAGCCAACATTTCCTTACATCTGTGGAGAAGGCACAACATTGATTACAACCGTGATCTGATCATATCCTGTTTTTAATTAATCACTTCTCTTTTCTCACAGATTGCGGATTCACATGTCACTATCGATGTCGACCTCTCATCCAATTAGATTGCAGTTTGGATCGCGGCTCCATAGTTGAACAAACATGTGCTGTAGAACACACCATAGAGACTGATACAAATGTGGTAAGAATCTCATGATCTGATGTATGCGTGTCATTTCATGTGTTTTCTCTACTTAACCTCATATTCACCGGCCACATCATGTGTCATGACCACTACCTATCCACTATTCAGACCATACTCTTTGTGGTGACTTGATGTCTGCACACTCTCTGTATTCAGTCACGCTATTCTTCTTTTCTTTCTATTCATTTTTCTTTCTATTACATGATCCCCCTGTGTCAGGTTTTTCAGTTCAGATCCTCTCTCTCACCATTTCCTTTGGCTATGGTAGCCTATATACAGTGCATTCTGAAAGTATCATTACTTTAAGACATGATGTTGAGATGTTCTCTGTGAAGCATTTATTTGGGCTGAACTCTGTGAAGCATTTATTTGGGCTGCAATCTGAGGTGCAGTTAACTCAAATGAATTTATCCTCTGCAGCAGAGGTAACTCTGGGTCTTCCTTTCCTGTGGCGGTCCTCATGAGAGCCAGTTTCATCATAGCGCTTGATGGTTTTTGCAACTGCACTTGAAGAAACTTTCAAAGTTCTTCAAATTTTCCGGGTTGATTGACCTTCAACTGTTCAGAGGAGACTGCGTGAATCAGGCCTTCATGGTCAAATTGCTGCAAGGAAACCACTACTAAAGGACACCAATAAAAATAAGAGACTTGCTTGGGCCAAGAAACATGAGCAATGGACATTAGACCGGTGGAAATCTGTCCTTTTGTCTGATGAGTCCAAATTTGAGATTTTTGGTTCCAACCGCCATGTCTTTTTGAGACACGGAGTAGGTGAAAAATGATCTCTGCATGTGTGGTTCCCACCGTGAAGCATGGAGAAGGAGGTTTGATGGTGTGGGAGTGCTTTGCAGGTGACACTGTCTGTGATTTTTTAGAATTCAAGGCACACTTAACCAGCATGGCTACCACAGCATTCTGCAGCGATATGCCATCCCATCTGGTTTGCGCTTAGTGGGACTATCATTTGTTTTTCAACATGACAACGACCCAAAACACACCTCCAGGCTGTGTAAGGGCTATTTGACCAAGAAGGAGTGATGGAGTGCTGCATCAGATGACCTGGCCTCCACAATCACCCGACCTCAACCCAATTGAGATGGTTTGGGATGAGTTGGACCGCAGAGTGAAGGAAAAGCAGCAAACAAGTGCTCAGCATATGTGGGAACTCCTTCAAGACTATTGGAAAAGCATTCCTCATGAAGGTGGTTGAGAGAATGCCAAGAGTGTGCAAAGCTGTCATCAAGGAAAAGGGTGGCTACTTTGAAGAATCTCAAATGTTTTGATTTGTTTAATACTTTTTTGGTTACTACATGATTTCATATGTGTTATTTCATAGTTTTGATGTCTTCACTATTATTATACAATGTAGAAAATAGTAAAAATAAAGAAAAACCCTGGAATGAGTAGGTGTGTCCAAACTTTTGACTCGTACAGTATTTAAATAATGTATTTCTAATAACCCGTTTTTTGCTTTGTCATTATGGGGTATTGTGTGTAGATATTTAATCCATTGTAGATATTTAATCCATTTTAAAATAAGGCTGTAATTTTAATGTGGAAGAAGTCTAGGGGTCTGAATACTTTCCGAGTGCACTGTAGGGGCATCAATCACTTATAGGGTTTCTTATCTGATCTATTTCTTTTTCTCTGAAGTGGTGCTGTTCTCTGTAGACCCCCAAGCCTACATGTCTATATTTTTATATATTTATTTAACCTTTATTTAACCAGGTAAGCCAGTTGAGAACAAGTTCTCATTTACAACTGCGACCTGGCCAAGATAAGCAAAGCAGTGCGATAAAAACAACAACACAGAGTTACATATGGGGTAAAACATTTACATTTTACATTTTCGTCATTTAGCAGACGCTCTTATCCAGAGCGACTTACAAATTGGTGCATTCACCTTATGATAGCCAGTGGGACAACCACTTTACAATTGTTTTTTTATTTTTATTTTGGGGGGTGGGGTAAGGGGGGGTAGAAGGATTACTTTATCCTATCCCAGGTATTCCTTAAAGAGGTGGGGTTTCAAGTGACTCCGGAAGGTGGTGAATGACTACGCTGTCCTGGCGTCGTGAGGGAGCTTGTTCCACCATTGGGGTGCCAGAGCAGCGAACAGTTTTGACTGGGCTGAGCGGGAACTGTGCTTCCGCAGAGGTAGGGGAGCCAGCAGGCCAGAGGTGGATGAACGCAATGCCCTCGTTTGGGTGTAGGGACTGATCAGAGCCTGAAGGTACGGAGGTGCCGTTCCCTTCACAGCTCCGTAGGCAAGCACCATGGTCTTGTAGCAGATGCAAGCTTCAACTGGAAGCCAGTGGAGTGTGTGGAGGAGCGGGGTGACGTGAGAGAACATGGGAAGGTTGAACACCAGACGGGCTGCGGCGTTCTGGATGAGTTGTAAGGGTTTAATGGCACAGGCAGGGAGCCCAGCCAACAGTGAGTTGCAGTAATCCAGACGGGAGATGACAAGTGCCTGGATTAGGCCCTGTGCTGCTTCCTGTGTAAGGCGAATGTTGTAGAGCATGAACCTACAGGATCGGGTCACCGCCTTGATGTTAGCGGAGAATGACAGGGTGTTGTCCAGGGTCACGCCAACGCTCTTTGCACTCTGGGAGGAGGACACAACGGAGTTGTCAACCGTGATGGCGAGATCATGGAACGGGCAGTCCTTCCCCGGGAGGAAGAGCAGCTCCGTCTTGCCGAGGTTCAGCTTGAGGTGGTGATCCGTCATCCACACTGATATGTCTGCCAGACATGCAGAGTTGCGATTCGCCACCTGGTTATCAGAAGGGGGAAAGGAGAAGATTAATTGTGTGTCGTCTGCGTAGCAATGATAGGAGAGGCCATGTGAAGATATGACAGAGCCAAGTGACTTGGTGTATAGCGAGAATAGGAGAGGGCCTAGAACTGAGCCCTGGGGGACACCAGTGGTGAGAGCACGTGGTGCGGAGACAGATTCTCACCACGCCACCTGGTAGGAGCGACCTGTCAGGTAGGAAGCAATCCAAGAGTGAGCCGCGCCGGAGATGCCCAACTCGGAGAGGGTGGAGAGGAGGATCTGATGGTTCACAGTATCAAAGGCAGCAGATGGGTCTAGAAGGACGAGAGCAGAGGAGAGAGAGTTAGCTTTAGCAGTGCGGAGAGCCTCCGTGACACAGAGAAGAGCAGTCTGTTGAATGACCAGTCTTGAAACCTGACTGGTTTGGATCAAGAAGGTCATTCTGAGAGAGATAGCTAGAGAGATGGCTAAAGATGGCACGCTCAAGAGTTTTGGAGAGAAAATAAAGAAGGGATACTGGTCTGTAGTTGTTGACATCGGAGGGATCGAGTGTAGGTTTTTTGAGAAGGGGTGCAACTCTCGCTCTCTTGAAGACGGAAGGGACATAGCCAGCGGTCAAGGATGAGTTGATGAGCGAGGTGAGGTAAGGGAGAAGGTCTCCGGAAATGGTCTGGAGAAGAGAAGAGGGGATAGGGTCAAGCGGGCAGGTTGTTGGGCGGCCGGCCGTCACAAGTCGCAAGATTTCATCTGGAGAGAGAGGGGAGAAAGAAGTCAACGCATAGGGTAGGGCAGTGTGAGCAGGACCAGCGGTGTCATTTGACTTAACAAACGAGGATCGGATGTCGTCAACCTTCTTTTCAAAATGGTTGACGAAGTCATCCACAGAGAGGGAGGAGGGGGGATTCAGCAGGGAGGAGAAGGTGGCAAAGAGCTTCCTAGGGTTAGAGGCAGATGCTTGGAATTTAGAGTGGTAGAAAGTGGCTTTAGCAGCAGAAACAGAGGAAGAAAATGTAGAGAGGAGGGAGTGAAAAGATGCCAGGTCCGCAGGGAGTCTAGTTTTCCTCCATTTCCGCTCGGCTGCCCGGAGCCCTGTTCTGTTAGCTCGCAATGAGTTATCGAGCTACGGAGCAGGAGGGGAGGACCGAGCCGGCCAGGAGGATAGGGGACATAGAGAGTCAAAGGATGCAGAAAGGGAGGAGAGGAGGGTTGAGGAGGCAGAATCAGGAGATTGGAGGGAGAAGGATTGAGCAGAGGGAAGAGATGATAGGATGGAAGAGGAGAGAGTAGCGGGAGAGAGAGAGCGAAGGTTGCGACGGCGCATTACCATCTGAGTAGGGGCAGAGTGAGTAGTGTTGGAGGAGAGCGAGAGAGAAAAGGATACAAAGTAGTGGTCGGAGACATGGAGGGGAGTTGCAGTGAGATTAGTAGAAGAACAGCATCTAGTAAAGATGAGGTCAAGCGTATTGCCTGCCTTGTTAGTAGGGGGGGGCGGTGAGAGGGTGAGGTCAAAAGAGGAGAGGAGTGGAAAGAAGGAGGCAGAGAGAAATGAGTCAAAGGTAGACGTAGGGAGGTTAAAGTCACCCAGAACTGTGAGGGGTGAGCCATCCTCAGGAAAGGAACTTATCAAGGCGTCAAGCTCATTGATGAACTCTCCAAGGGAACCTGGAGGGCGATAAATGATAAGGATGTTAAGCTTGAATGGGCTAGTGACTGTGACAGCATGGAATTCAAATGAGGAGATAGACAGTAAAGTGGTTATCCCACTGACTATAGGGTGAATGCACCAATTTGTAAGTCGCTCTGGATAAGAGCGTCTGCTAAATGACGTAAATGTAATGTAATGAAAGAAAGAGAGAATGTCCACTTGGGAGAGATGAGGATTCCTGTGCCACCACCCCACTGACCAGATGCTCTCGGGGTATGCGAGAACACATGGTCAGACGAGGAGAGAGCAGTAGGAGTAGCAGTGTTTTCTGTGGTAATCCATGTTTCCGTCAGCGCCAAGAAGTCGAGGGACTGGAGAGTAGCATAGGCTGAGATGAACTCTGCCTTGTTGGCCGCAGAACGGCAGTTCCAGAGGCTGCCGGAGACCTGGAACTCCACGTGGGTCGTGCGTGCAGTGACCACCAGGTTAGAGTGGCAGCAGCCACGCGGTGTGAGGCGTTTGTATAGCCTGTGCGGAGAGGAGAGAACAGGGATAGACAGACACATAGTTGACAGGCTACAGAAAATGGCTACAATAATGCAAAGGAGATCGGAATGAAATGAACTAAACATCTGGGAAAGCGAGAGAGCGGGGCCTCCCTCACTTACGTTTCACTGAAACACCCAAATATAACTCTCCCAACTTCCACCTCAGAAACTATAATTGTTGTAAACTACAGTGGTTCAATGTTTTCTAGGAATAGACTAACTTAGTTTATTCAGCTAGCTAACTTGGTACAGTATTCTTCCGTGAAAACCGTCCAGGGCACCGAATCCTATGACGCCACAGCCAATTAGCATGCCAGCCTCCAACAACACGGTTTAGCACCAATACTCGGCCACAACAAACCACCAGTTTGTCAACACGCCAAGCAGATCATTTGTGTCCGTGTCTAACGTTGTGTAAAGTTCTGGGTTAGTCCCGACAGCTTGAGCGAGTCCGTCGTCAACTTATTCAGCCAAAACATAAAGTCAAAAATACAACAGAAAATATATATACAGTGTGTGCAAATGTAGCAAGTTATGGAGGTAAGGCAATAAATAGGCCATAGTGCAAAATAATTACAATTAGTATTAACACTGGAATGATAGATGTGCAAGAGATGATGTGCAAATAGAGAAACTGGGGTGCAAATGAGCAAAATAAATAATAATAATAATATGCCATTTAGCAGACGCTTTTATCCAAAGCGACTTATAGTCATGCGTGCATATATTTTTACATATGGGATCGAACCCACTACCCTGGCGTTACAAACGCCATGCTCTACCAATTGAGCTACAGAGGACCAAATAACAATATGGGGATGAGGTAGTTGGGTGGGCTAATTTCAGATGGTCTGTGTCCAGGTGCAGTGATCGGTAAGGTGTTCTGACAACTGATGCTTAAAGGTAGTGAGGGAGATAAGTGTCTCCAGCTTCAAATATTTTTGCATTTCATGCATTTGTCATGTTATCATTTGAATCCCCTATGCTCTGCTGTCTGAATCCTCTCACATGATTTTCTTCTTCTCGCGTTGTCTTTATTGTTGGCAGACAGGAAAAGGGAGGAGTATGATGTCATGGGAGTTGTAATTTCCCCTCAGCGCCCAATCATGGCTTTTTGCGCTGGTTTTGTGTATTTTCTAATCTCAACCGCCTGGGTAGGGCCTCCGCGGGCGGGGGAGAGAGATGGAAAGGCGGGGGCTGGTGCCGCATCCTGTTCTCAGCTAGTCGTGAGAAGAGGAAACGTGGCCAGATTGAAGAGGAAACCGAGAGAAACGCGCTTTAGAACAACATTGTTGAGGTTTACAGGGAGATACTAACAATACTAGCAGTCTGATTACTCTACACCCTATCTGTGAATTAAAGTTTCTGTAGTTACTTCATGTTTATTATAGCGGGATATAATTTTTGATATAAATTGTGTTATTAAACGGGAAACGACGCCTATTAGCGCTCCAATCAAAACTGAATGAGATACAACCTGACAAATTGTAGAAAATTCTAATCGCAACATCGTTCCAGAGTCTATACATCGTTCCAGAGTCTATACATCGTTCCAGAGTCTAGACATCGTTCCAGAGTCTAACGTTACATTGCAACATTTTGATCATGGAAGACGCGGTCAGTGGTTCGCATAAGAGCCCATCCTTCGAGAAGACGTGGGGCAGCTCCACCAGTAGCGGATACTGCAGTGGGGACTCGGATTCTGAGTTCGAACAGTACTTTACAGCTCGCACATCATTCATTTGCAAACCCAAGAAAGAGAAGGTGAGAATGATAACTTTATCAAGCCAACAGGACTATGTCAAATGCTTACCACACTGTTTCTATTTAGAAACTTTCTGTAACTGTTTCTTTCGTTATAGTTGCATTATAGTTTATGATTATTCACTCATAGCATTATGAAGTGATTGCTGTAGTAGCCCTAGTAACTCTACCATGGTTCCTTTTTCTAAAATGTTAATTGGGATCTGCTGTACCTCTGATAGGGTGGCAGGTAGCTTAGTGGGTAAGAGCATTGTGCCAGTAACCGAAAGGTCGCTGGTTCTAATCCCCGAGCTGACTAGGTGAAAAATCTGTCGATGTGCCCTTAATTAAGCAAGGCACTTAACCCTAGTTGCTCTGGATAAGAGTGTCTGCTAAATGACTAAAATGTAATTAAAACACGTGTAAAACAACACTTTACACATGATACTCTACCTCTTATTACGTTTCTGTACACACACACACTAGTCATGTAGCTTACGGTTCAGTGTTCTACTCTCATATCTGAACAAACATTACACTAACAAAGGTTGCACACACAAGTCTGCGTACAAGCCTGCACACATATCTCTGCAGGGTTTGAATGAGTAATGGCAAAATAAGATCATGTTTGATTAACTAATATTTCCACATCATCTTGAATGTTATTATACAGAGTACAGTACAAAATGATAATGGCACCGTGAACATTAGTGACTCCTTAGTAGACTGTACCGGCTCTCATTTTGTGATTGCCTATTTAGTAGTTAACTGCAGGACATCATTTTTTAAAAAACATTTTAGTCATTTAGCAGACACTCTTATCCAGAGCGACTTACAGTTAGTGAGTGCAAACAAAAAACGTTTTCATACTGGCCCCCCGTGGGAATCGAACCCACAATCCTGGCATTGCAAGCGCCATGCTCTACCAACTGAGCTACACAGGACCATTAACTCTGCAGCTTTTCAATCTGCATTAGGATATAGGTTATTGATCTGTTTTATTGATCTGTATTTTTCACAGCTTGACATTGCTTTATGTAGTTGTGGTGCTCCATGAATTATGGGCAGCTGTGGCCATTCATTTCTACAAAGTGTAAACATCAGCTAACTCTCCTTATTAGAAACATGATTAGTGGGATATACAATACAGGAGCAATCTAGTTTTGAATGCCACCATTGAAGAGTTATTTGTCCCTGTGATTTTCCTACTGAATTAGCTGTTTTTCTTGTGACTTTGTCCCAGAGGAGAGCTCATGTTGTGTGCTGATGGTAGCACAAGCCAGGGGGATTTATGGCTATTGATCTATGGATTACCCCCCCCCCCCCTCCACGAAAAGCAGCTATAGTTGGTCCCCTAATGCACTGTTTCCCAACCCTTGTCCTCAAGTGCCCCCAACAGTACACAGTTTTGTTGTAGCCCTTGACAAACACACCTCATTCAACTCATTGAGGACTTGATGATTAGTTGACAAGTTGAATCAGGTGTGCTTGTCCAGAGTTACAATAAAACATGTATTCTGTTGGGGGTACTCGAGGACCAGGGTTGGAAAACACTGCCCTAATTGATGCCTCTAAGTTTTGTGCATCATATGTCCTGAATAACATTCTCACATAGGAAGCATGAACGGACCATTAGACACAGGAAGTGGATACTGTGTGTCCATACCAGACATTTAAATGTCTTGCAGATGCTGGAGGCTAAATGTTCATTGCTGAAAGATGACTGAGATTCTGTGGAAGATGAGGCAGCTGACTTCACAGGATATGCCTGTAAAACAGAGGAAGGCTTTGTTTCTGACTCTCGGGGGGGGGGGGGGGGGGGGTATTTTTTACATGAACAGCATTAAGGAATGCAGCCCAAAGCACTTGCATACATTACAAACAGCTGCACGTTCCCCCATGGCGCCTCCCTCTTCAGTGATAGGAGTTCAGGAACTAGGATTGGACAGCGCTGACATCATTGTTCTCCACTACTTCCCTATCGTAGGCTATGGCTACGTTGACACTTGACAGGAAGTTTGGAATCTGATGCAACCGGGGATAATTTGTGAACGAAGGAGTGGAGCTTACAGGAAGTTAGCACTGTGAAGCATAGGCTGCTATTTAGCACATTTGCTAACTCTCCATTATACAGCAGCAACAAGTCCTGAAGAAGCAGCAATGTTTCTCATTCAATACCATTTTGACTTACACCAGTTTAGTGCTTCCTTCCTCTCAGCTACTGCGGGCCAAAACCCATCTAGTCCACCTCTATGAATTTTAATTAGACTGATGTCTCAGCTCAAGCTTTCTTAACTAAATGTTTAGTTGAATTGGTCGATATGTCATGCCTCAACTGTCCCGCTAATCTATTTGAGTTTTTTTCAATATGAAATGTTGTGGGGCGTTAGTTTGCCCCTATAGGCCCACATAACACATTTCTTACAGGCAGAATTTTACATGCAACACATTTAACCTTGGCTCTCTGTTGACACATAGTGGTAGAACACAAAAGCCTCCCAAGATCACCCTTTTTTTGTCTTTCGCCTTTAGGAAGATGAGTGAGTAAGCAAAATGGAAAGAGGGTTTTACGGCTGCTTCGACAAAGTGAAGTGTAGCCAATTAATGGCTTATTGAAATATTGACTCCCTTTTCTCTCTCTCTGGTCAGGATGAACAGGTCAAATGTGGGAAGCAGCAGGAGCTGTCAGGCACAGAGATCCAGCAGAAGGTGAAGGAGTACAACGCTCAAATCAACAGCAACCTCTTTATGAACCTGGTGAGTACTAACAAGTTGCTGTTATACCATTGTAGTAACATTGTAATTAATCTAGTAATTACCATGTTTTTATACAGTAATTCAGTAATTGCTCAGTTACAATACTGCAGAATTACCCCAAAAATGTAATGTCTACTATGCAATAACATGTTGATAGATTGTGTTAATGTTAAGTTGTATACCAACATTTATTCATTCTCTTCAACAGAACAAAGATGGCTCCTACACTGGCTTCATAAAGGTCCAGTTCAAGCTGGTACGACCCGTGTCAGTTCCCCCACCAAGAAAAGGTACTACAACACAGGATGGTGCGGGCAAGAAGAATGGGGGAGTAAAACGTTGCACCTCTTTCTACCTGCCCAAGGATACATCCAAACACCTACACATCAGCTCCCGCACACGCGCTCGTGAGGTCATCGAAGCCTTGCTGAAGAAGTTCACCGTGGTGGACAACCCTGGAAAGTTTGCCCTGTTTGAGCGCACTGAGCGTCATGACCAAGGTGAGCCTACCTCTGTGACCGGTTTCATGGCAGCACATGACTGGTCTTTGTTCTGCATTGACATCACATAGATAAATACTAAGAAGTGCCATACAGTTGATTAATTCCATTGTCCTCCTCCTGTATTTATCTCAGTGTACCTGCGTAAGCTGTCTGATGACGAGCGTCCACTCCACCTGCGTCTGTGTGCTGGACCCAATGAGAAAGCCCTCAGTTTGGTGTTGAAAGAGAATGAGACTGGAGAGGTCAACGTGAGTATTGAGCATGCATTGGGCATTCATTCTCAAACCAACATGGCCATTTCACATTGTGCAGCATACAAAAATCCTCTGTCTCTCTCCTCTCTCTGTCCAGTGGGATGCCTTCTCTATGCCAGAGCTTAAGAACTTTGTCCGCATGCTACAGCGTGAGGAGGAGGAGCATGTCAAGCAGATTGTGCAGCGCTACGCTCTGGCCCGCACCAGGATGCAGGAGGCCCAATCTGCTGCTTCCACCCCTAGTGGTTCCTCCCCTGGTGGTTCCACCCCTGGCTGAGAAACACGTCGCCTACGGGACAACCTGCACCTCTGACTGACAACCATCAAAAGATGACCAGTCATCACTGCATCCAAAGATCCCAGAGAACACAAGTGGACACCTCCCTCAAAGGAGGAGAGTGAAAGACCGAATGAGAGCGAGAGGGCGCAAGAGGGCAAGCGCGTGTGAGTGTGAGAGAAATCAGAAGTGCCGTACACCTGGAGAGAGTCTGTTGTGCCTGAGAGAGAATGAGAATTGAGAGAGAGTATGTGAAACTGTGGTTGATGAGAAACTGGCTTTGTCCAGTACTGCCTCTCATTATGGGGGTGCCATTTCACTATCCTGGGTGAGCTACCAGCCTCGTAATGTTCATCACCTGTTATTCTTGCTGGCAGTAGGGTCCATAGATTATATCATTTATAGCTTTTGGGTAACAATCAAATATAATTTTGAGACACCCGAGTGGGGTCAGCCATATCAAAAAGCCCTGTTTATCTCCCTTAATGCCTAGCAATAAGAGGGTAGCCAACCTATTAGCTAAGACAATGTTGAACATATTCAGGTACTGTCTGCCTCAGTATCCCCAGACCCAAATGCTAGACAGAATAACAAGCGATGGACATTATGGGCCAGGTAGGTACCCCATGTTTCCATTTGACCCCAATGTCTGCCACATACCTCCTGCACATCTGTACTGTGATGGATGTTACTTTTTGCTGGCCCTTTATGAGGCTGAGTGGGAGTGCCCCATGTGTTGGGAGCACCTTGAATGTCAATTGAGAGGACAATCCCCAGGTCGATTTAATTGATAGGGGAATCTCGTCCTTGAAACTTGGAACACTTTGAACTGGAAGCTGATACTTTTTATGTTTGTATTGTGTATATTTTTTCGTGTTCTTCATGAGATTCTAAACCTCTGTTAAAACAACAGAATAATAGAGTTGAGAATTTGATTCATATTATCAGCACGTCTATATCGCTTGAAATAATACCTTGACTGTCCTTTATTCAATACAAAATTTTTCTGTTACATGTCCAGTGTCAATATATTTTGTACAAAATAATAATAGATTTGCACTGTTCACATTAAACAAGTTATCTTTCACAAAAGTGTGGTGATTCTTGGTGGTGGGGGTATGCCATTGGGATGATATTCGTTAGCTAAATAATGCTAGCCCCACTTGGCAGTTATGGCTAGTTGGAGTAGATGTCACAGAGAAAGTTACTATTATTTCCTTGTGATGGTGTAAAGGATGCTGTGCAAACATCTACCCTCTGTACTGGCTAGTGGTTACATTGTTTCTGTCACTCATGCGCAAGCTCAGCTGACCAATCGTGCGGTTTTTCCGTTCGTTTAGACCACACGTCAGTGTGATTGTTGTTTGGGATCTGTACTATCTAGCCAGCCATCTTAGCTATTTAACAACAACAGTGTATTTAATCAACACTACCCTACTCCAAGGACGAATAGAAGTCACTACGCGAAAATAATGAATATGTTACTGTAAGTGCTGTCACCATAATACACCTTTAGCTAGAGCTAACCTTAGCTAGCTAACTGTTACTAGGCTAGCGTAGCAAACATCCAGGGAACTGTTGAGATAGTTAGTTAGCTTTGGTTTATACAGTTTAGCAGTTTAAAAGCTCAATTCATTTACAATATTAAGCTATACAATATATATATACAATACTTAGCTTGCTATCAGCTGCAATTTGAACCGTGTTACGTTAGCTAGCCATCTTGGCCAAGCTGGCCAACGTCGTTCGCTAGCTAACTAGCTAAGTTACCGTTTGAATGTCAACTAGTTAGCAATCTAACCTAGCTATTTAACTTGCTAGCTAACTATTGTTTGCAACGTTTGGCCTGTGCGGTACCATTAGGCTAGCTAACGCAACAGCGTGTGTCTGTGTTTTAACAACAGTACATATGGCATGACTGTTCTTGTTTTCAGATCCAAACCAGTGACGTTAGACAACTGACTGTCTGGACAGCTCATATACTCGTTGCCTAGGAGTTTTCTGTCGCAAGGGATAATGTCCCATCACTGAAGATGGGAGGCAGTGGGTCCAAGATGAAAGGTGCTTGGCCATTTGCTGGTTCAGGAGCTGGAGGTGATTCAGTCAGTGAGGGGCAAGAAGACCAGTCTTTGACCCGACTCAAAAGGACCAGAAAAGCAACCCCATTTATTTTCACAAGAAGGAGGTAATAATGTCTGCTAAATGCAATATGTAGCATATGTGATCCTTAGTGAAATGCTTTCCAATACCCTATTTTTTGTGTGTGTTGATAGCTCGCTTTACTATGACGAGGATGGGGACCTGGCTCATGAGTTCTATGAAGAGACTGTGGTGACAAAAAATGGCCGGAAGAGGTCCAAGCTGAAGAGGATTCAGAAGAACCTCATCCCTCAGGTGAGCTGATTGGATGAACACTTGAGAGTCCCAGACTGAGTGTTGGAAAGGTTTCCAGTTACCCATGGTTGTTGGTTATCATTACTAGTGTGGGTATTGTTATCTTTTTGCAGGGAATTGTGAAGCTAAACCACCCCCGGATCCATGTAGATTTTCCTGTCATCCTCTGTGAGGTGTGAATAACACTGGGCTGGTCTAATGTGGAAAAGACACCTGTCAGTCAACGGCTGCCCCACACTACAACTGCTCCATCTTGAACGCTGGTGTTCCTCTGAGAAGATGGATGAGATGTCTGACTACAGCTGTGGACAGACCACCAAAGCTATGTTGCGGAGAGAAAGGGGAGGCGGAATAGATGTTTTGGTGAAAGATAGAGATAGAGTAAAAGTATTGCCTTCTGTGACATGTAGAGAAGTGTGTGTGCATGCGCATATATGTGTGTGTAGAAGAGAAGGGTAGCTCAAGATGAGGGAAGGTTTATGAATTCCCACAGTATATGTTGATCATTTTCATGTTGTAATATTATCATATCTAAGTCTGCCTCTGTGATTGGAGCCAAGACCTGCACTAGTGAACTTTTAATGTAAATACAAATAAAAAAACCTGTGAGTTGGAAATACTTGAATAAATGGTTTACCAGGCTAAAAGACTGTGTTGAGGCAATCCCTTTTTTTTTATCAAGCACATATGTTTCACAGTCTGAGTTTTGTTCCATAACAATGTGGTCACAATATCGATGGTTTTGTGTTCTGTGATTTAAAGACTCAGATTGGCTCAATTTACTAGTCCTTCTCTATCTAGTTCTCATAATCCTGGGAAGCTGTCGTTGGTGAATGTTTTTTCTCTCTGCTGTACTTCAGTTTAGGCACCAGGGGGCATTGCTCTTGTACAGATGGGTCTGATCATATGTTTGATTCTGTAACGTTTTTGGGCCAGTCATCTTTTATGCCAATTGACTTTGAATAATTTAGGATGATTACGACATGACTTATATGTCTAGTTGTTTATGATAAAGTCAAGTACTTTATAGACATTTTGAAGGTTCAGTGATACATGTTCTAATATTAATCAATTTGTACAGTATCTAATGGTCCATGACCATGATATATGGTCAGTTTCAGTGTTTAGCATACAGCAGGCTATGGGCATAACGGCCATCTCTGGCCCCTGTAATTGTGTGGAATGTGGTTGGGTGTGTTTCAGGGCCAGGGGTCAGACACATTGACGTAATTCCTCCTTCATTCCTTCCTTTGATGTTCTGCTGAGCAACTTCCTCTGAAGATGGGTTACTCTCGAATGGGTAATGCTTGTTTATGACCATAAATGCCTACAGCATATTTTAGTGTTTTAGCCATACTGATGGATTAAGCAAGGTAAGTAATACATCCAAATAGAAAACTGTAAACAATGTACATGGTGTGATGGAAAAAGGTGTGTGAGGGTGTACATTTCTACGTTTCTTTTACATCATGACATTTCATTTTATTTAATCAGGAAGTCCCATTGAGTTCAGTCGGCCGCTTTCCCAAGGGAGACATCGACCTGGCATACTTTTGAGTGCTATAGGCAGTTTATGTAAAATATGCGAATGAATGGGTTTGTTTGTGTAAAAATAGATTTTCATACATCTCAGAGATTAAAAATAATTGTATAAAGCAATTTCTCACATGATCTACAAAGTTCAAAATGTAGCCTGTGTGAGTTCCAGGCTATTATACAGTCCTATGGTCCCTCTGATTTTTTAAGTGCTTGTGTATGATGAAGGTGACAGGGTGTGTTTCCAGTTCCCCACATTGTTATCACTTCCTGGAGGTGCCTGAAGGCTGATGATGTAATGTCCAGGAGTCAAGGGTCAAAGGGAAGCACACAGGATGGAGGGAAACTGCCCATCCCTTCTCTTCCCTCGCTCCCTCTTTGTCTCATTCACACACACACGCACACAAACAGGTGAGTCAGCAGAGCTTGGAGAACAAACAGCATCAACTGAGTGACCCTCAAAGGATGAGGCCTCACCTCACTTCCAGGGTTTTTTGTCTATCATGTGCCCTCAGATCCTCTACGTCACATGCACCCTTTAGGCATATGTTTTGTTGGGCTTTGCTTCTAACTATTCATTTCAAAGCTTTCAACCCCAGCCTGCTCTAAATCTATCCATGACCTTGGCAACATGACAGCATGTGGTACTTGGTTGGTTCATTTGAGCCACTGCCAATGGCCGTCATCACATCTGCCTCAAGCGGTGACATCTGCATGCCAGATGTCTGTGTCCGGACAGAGTTTTAATGCTACTGGTCCTAGAGATATACCATACTTACTTACATTAACTATAGGTTACTCTGTAACACTTTATGTTATGGTGTAGCCTACTTACAATGATTTATTAAGGGGTTTAAACGGTCAATTATAAGTGTATAGATAGTTTATAAATATGTAATGAACTTGTATACCACATTGGTTGCAATTGTGTGCTTGTCATTTAACTGCTCGCCAAAAACTGCCTTTATGAACTCAAATGGTCCTGTGTGGCTCAGTTGGTAGAGCATGGCTCTTGCAGTGCCAGGGTTGTGGGTTCGATTCCCACGGGGGACCAGTACAAATATGTGTGCACTCACTACTGTAAGTCGCTCTGGATAAGAGAGTCTGTTAAATGACTAAAATGTATTAAACTGAGAACTTAAACTTTAGGATGGGAATGGCATGCTCAGTCACTTTAACTCTACCCACATGTACTTCAACTACCTCAACTAGCTGGTGCCCCCGCACATTGACTCTGCACCGGTACCCCCTGTATATATAGCCTCCCTACTGTTATTTTATTTTACTTCTGCTCTTTTTTTCTCAACACTTTTTTGTTGTTGTTTTATTTTACTTTTTTATAAAAAATAAATGCACTGTTGGTTAAGGGCTGTAAGTAAGCATTTCACTGTAATGTCTGCACCTGTTGTATTCGGCACATGTGGCCAATACAATTTGATTTGATTTGATGTTGGGAGGATCTATGCCAGGCTCGCCTCAATAGGTCCGCGGGTGATTATATTTTCCCCCATAGTTTAATTTTTTTAAATATAATTTTTGTTGTTGGACATAAAATACTGTAAAATAACCGGGAAATCAGCTCAAAGTGGTTTTAATTTAGGCATCTGTTACCAAGTATTACCACGCATAAATAGAGAGGCATATGTGATCGTATCCCAATGTAATCAAGGTTTGAAATGATTCTGTTTTTGTCAAATAATCTGTTTGGGATTCTTGCGGTCACTTTGCAGTACAAATTATTAACTCTCAAGGAAATACCGGCTCATGGCTGAATGTAATTGGGGACCCCTGTTCTATGCTGTCAACAGCTACTTAATCAAGATAATGCAACAATATACACTATATATACAAAATTATGTGGCCATCCCTTCAAATTAGTGGATTTGGCTATTTCAGCCACACCCGTTGCTGACAGGTGTGTAAAATCGAGCACACAGCCATGCAATCTCCATATACAAACATTGGCAGTAGAATGGCACGTACTGAAGAGCTCAGTGACTTCAACGTGGCACCGTCATAGGATGCCAGCTTTCCAACAAGTCAGTTCATCAAATTTCTGTCCTGCTAGAGCTGCCCGGGTCAACTGTAAGTGCTGTTGTGAAGTGGAAACATCTAGGAGCAACAACGGCTCAGCTGCAAAGTCATAGGCCTCACAAGCTCACAGAACGGGGCCGCCGAGTGCTGAAGTGCGTAGCGCATAAAAATCGTCTGTCCTCAGTTGCAACACTCACTACCAAATTCCAAACTGCCTCTGGAAGCAACGTCAGCACAATAACTGTTCTTCGGGAGCTTCATAAATGGGTTTACATGGCCGAGCAGCCGCACACAAGCCTAAGATAACCATGCGCAATGCCAAGCGTCGGCTGGAGTGGTGTAAAGCTTGCCGCCATTGGACTCTGGAGCAGTGGAAACGCATTCTCTGGAATGATAAATCACGCTTCACCATCTGGCAGTCCGATGGACGAATCTGGGTTTGGCGGATGCCAGGAGAACGCTACCTGCCCCAATGCATAGTGCCAACTGTAAAGTTTGGTGGAGGAGGAATAATGGTGTGGGGCTGTTTTTCATGGTTCGGGCTAGGCCCCTTAGTTCCAGTGAAGGGAAAACCTTAACGCTACAGCATACAATGACATTTGAGACGATTCTGTGCTTGCAACTTTGTGGCAACAGTTTGGGGAAGGCCCTTTCCTGTTTCAGCATGATGATGCCCATGCACAAAACACAAACGAGGTCAACACAAACGAGGTCCATCGAGATCGGTGTGGAAGAACTTGACTGGCCTGCACAGAGCCCTGACCTCAACCCAATCGAACACCTTTTGGATGAATTGGAACACCGACTGCGAGCCAGGCCTAATTAGCCAACATCAGTGCCCGACCTCACTAATGCTCTTGTGGCTGAATGGAAGCAAGTCCCCGCAGCAATGTTCCACTATCTAGTGGACAACCTTCCCAGAAGAGTGGAGGCGGTTATAGCAGCAAAGGGGGGACCAACTCTATATTAATGCCCATGATTTTGGAATTAGATGTTCGACGAGCAGGTGTCCACAAACTTTTGGTCATGTATTGCATCTGTTTTCAAAGACTAGTAGGAAACGTGTTGGACTGACTCATTCTGAAGTGTTCAACTGACAAATTAAAGGAACTATTTTCAATTATAAACTGGAAAGAAATAACAGTTTTAGATATGAAGCCTAGGTTAGCTCAATGATTTTGGTGTAATACAATATATTAAGAACCACTTGAAACGCCTACAGTACAAATATCATAATTGTACAGTTTAGTTCGCCACTCCCCCCTTTTCATGCTGAATGGAACATCCTGAAGTGGTACAGTCTCTCTCACTAGTCTAGGGTCGGCGTTGCGTGCAACAAAACTGACAACAGTACAAGGATTACGGTACACTCACTGTCGGTTCAAGTTGTAAAGTACAGTAATAATACACGCCAGTGACATAAATGAAGTACCAGTGTTTTTACCTATTGTTGCAGGGATGACTTAAAGTTTGTTTCATTCACTTTTCTCCGACTTATCTTGAGGAAAGACAAACGTGGCTTGGAATATAGCAAGACTCCAGCTTTTGGGAATGCTTCCTCGTTCGGCTATACAAGGTAAGGTATGTTTTTCTATTTTGTTTTCTACTAATTAAAACTTTCTCATGGGCAAAAGGTGGGTGTTCTACACAGACAGCGAAAGTGTAAGGGTGTGTTTGCTGAGACAAGCGTCTACTGCTGTTTCAAGTCCACTGCTGCTAAAGTCCACCAAACGATTACTTTCAGTAACCTAGAACTTTCACTAAATATTAAATTAATCATCTTCATGAGAAGTGGTATTGTTTCCAGGCTTGTCATATACAGTAGGCTGCTTGATCTTAATGCATTATTAATAGAGGCTTTCACGCTGTATGCAATGAATTAAACCAGCTGAACTGTTCACACCTTATTTTTCACTTTATCCATAAACCTAGTGTATGTCTTAAACCTGTGGTGAAAGTGAGTCCTCTATTTAAACTTTTCTGGGCATGGAGGCACCCAAGTAATTACAGTTGGTGGCAAATCTGAATCTATTGATTAGAAATCCAAATATAACTTGTGATGTTCACTTCAATTTACATTTTAGATAAGCTAATGTCAATTATCTTTACAGGACAGGAGAGCAGAGAGTGAAAAGATATTAATTCACCACAAAAGTCATGTTGTACTGGACTGTACTGCCTGATTGGAAAGTATTGTTGTTGGTGACTCTTCTATGGGACTGCTGCTTCTGTGCGGAGGAACTGAAGCCCACAAGATGGCCACTGTATCCCCAAAAGCCTCTGGTCCTGGCCTGGAATGCCCCGACGGAGGACTGCGGCCCGCGGCACGGTATCCACTTTCAGCTGGAGCAGTTCCAGATTGTGGCATCGCCCAACGAGGGCTTTGTTCGCCAGAACCTCACCATCTTTTACAAGGACCGCCTGGGGTTGTACCCCTACTATGATGAGCATGATGGTACTTCCAAGAACGGTGGGCTCCCGCAGGTTGCCAGTCTCACTCAGCACCTGGAGAAGATGCCGGAGGGCATTCAGTATTACATACGTGAACCAGGGGCCAAGGGACTTGCAGTCATTGACTGGGAGGAATGGAGACCACTGTGGATCCGCAACTGGGACGTCAAGGATGTGTACCGCAGCCGGTCACGCCAGCTGGTGGCCCAGAAGAACCCAGCTTGGCCCGCAGAGCGTGTGGCTAAGGTGGCCCAGCAGGAGTTTGAGATGTCGGCCCGGAAGTTCATGCTGGAGACACTGAGGCTGGCCAAGAGCCTGCGGCCCAACCAGCTGTGGGGGTTCTACCTGTTCCCAGACTGCTACAACCATGACTACCGGAACACTCTGGAGAACTACACAGGCCGCTGTCCTGACGTGGAGGTGGCACGGAATGAAATGCTCAAATGGCTGTGGACTGAGAGTACAGCCCTCTTCCCTTCTGTCTACATGAGCACAGTGCTACGCTCTTCACCCTCTGGGCGCCAGTTTGTCCGGAACCGGGTGAAGGAGGGGATGCGTCTGGCGTCAGGGGGAGACGGGCTGGCACGTCCTGTCTTTGTGTACGCCCGGCCCACCTACGCCAACGTATTGGACCTGCTGACAGAGGTGAGGGGCCGTTTCACTGACAGTCACATAGTACTACCCAGAAGCACTTATCCTACCTTTTAAATAATATATATTTTTTCAAGTCTTTGTATGTTTATTGGATAGAGACAGGTGGGGGTGAAAGGTAGGAGAGAGAGATTGATGAAAGAGCAGTGGAACGGATTCGAATTCATGCTGGCTGCAAAACATCGTACATGTGCTGTGGCTTAGATGGCTAGACCACCCCAGGCCACCTACCTAGAACTTTTGATAAGACTGTTTACCATTAGACAGGAAATCCATCCTGCATATCATATTCCAGCTCAATTCAGTGAGAAAGAAATCAAGGAGTTGGAAGAATAATTTATGTTAAACAATATCTACAGGCTATAAACCTACACTAATAGAATCTTCACCAGGATTTAAATGATGATGATGATTGCGATTCAGTTAATGTTGAGGTTTATGAGTTTTAGTTTCAAACCATTTAATCTTAATTTTTCGGTATAATTATGCTCCATATCGGAGTGCAATACTCCCTCTTTAATATCTATTTTAATATCTATTTTATCAATGGGTGTGATTTAGAACTGCTCTTTTGTGTGTGTCTGTGTTTGTGTGCGTGTGTGTGCTGGTTTGATTGACCCTGATTCACAGATAGAGCTTTCTCTCTACCGCTGACCCTCTGTCCTTATCTGTGGCCGCAGCCCTTTCCTGCACTATTAGCAGACACTCCAATACTACCACTCATTTTTATGTGTGTATGTGTGTGAGCAGGATGGGTGTTGGACACGTTACTTGCTAACACTCCATAGTGCATTTCCTTAGGGGGCATGAGCAGATAAGAGGTGGTCACATGGTCCATTATAAACTGGGTGGTTCGAGGCTTGAATGCTGATTGGCTGAAAGCCGTGGTATATCAGACCGAATACCATGGGTATGACAAAACATTTATTTTTACTGCTCTAATTACGTTGGTAACCAGTTTATAATAGCAATAAGGCACCTCGGGGGTTTGTGATGGATGTCCAATATACCACGGCTGAGGGCTGTGTCCAGGAACTCCGCGTATAACAGTAATCCTTCTACCCCCCCCTCCCCCACCCCCTATTCAAACAAAAAAATATATATATAAAAAAAAAGGGTGGTTGTCCCACTGGCTATCCTAAGTTGAATGCACCAATTTGTAAGTCGCTCTGGATAAGAGTGTCTGCTAAATGACTAAAATGTAAAATGTTGCATGCGTAAGAACAGCCCTTAGCCGTGGTATATTGGCCATATACCACACCCCCTCGGGCCTTATTGCTTAAGTGGCCTCTCGCCCCCTCTCACCCTTAACAATACCGAGTGCATGTAGTTAATTCTGGTTCTATTTCCACTGGCTGATTTGTGCTGACTGTGCACGGTATGCTTTGGGATAAATCTGTACTCCTATAGGCAAGATTTTGAATTATTTCATCTTTCTGCAGACGGACCTGGTCTCCACCATCGGGGAGAGTGTGGCTCTTGGGGCCGCAGGCATCATCCTGTGGGGAGACCACGCTTATGCAGGCAGTAAGGCAAGTGTCCACACAATGAAATCGCTACGAATCACTGAATGACCAATTCACAGGACCTCACTGCATGTCACAATATCATAGTCAATCATGTCACACACTTGATTATCAGCTGATTATCAGTTGTGTTTTTGTAGCAGCCCCTCTTCCTATCCCTTTTGTTATAATGATGTGAAAGGGTTTGTAGTGGATCTTAAGCTTCATTTAAATTGGGGAGACACAGGAACAACATCAATGTAAATCTATCTTTAAACTCTGTGTGTGTCAGGGCCTCCCGAGTGGCGCAGCGGTCTAAGGCACTGCATCGCAGTGCTTGAGGCGTCACTACAGCTCCAGGTTCGATCCGAGGCTGTGGCACAGACGGCCGTGACCGGGAGACCCATGAGGCGGCGCACAATTGGCCCAGCGCCGTCCAGGTTAGGGGAGGGTTTGGCCGGCCGGGATTTCCTTGTCCCATCGCGCTCTTGCGAGTCCTTGTGGCGGGCCAGGCGCCTGCAAGCTGACTTCGGTCGCCAGTTGTACGGTGTTTCCTCCGACACATTGGTGCGTCTGGCTTCCGGGTTAAGCAAGCAGTGTGTCAAGAAGCAGGGCGGTTTGGCATGGTCGTGTTTCGGAGGACGCATTGGCTCTCGACCTTCGCCTCTCCCGAGTCCGTACGGGAGTTGCAGTGATGGGACAAGACTGTAACTACCAATTGGATATCACGAAAAAGGGTTAAAAGTATACACAAAACATAAATAAATAAACTCTGTGTGTGTCTTTCTCTCTCCAGACCAGTTGCTTCAGTCTGAATGAGTACCTACAGGGTCCACTTGGGCCGGTACCTGCTCAACGTCTCCACGGCAGCAGAGCTGTGCAGCCAGAGGCTGTGCGGTTCCCACGGACGCTGCCTGCGTAGGCAGCCTGACACTGACGCCTACCTGCACCTCAGCCCCCTCACCCACAGCATAGTCAGCCTGGAAAAAGGCAAATTCAAGGTTCAAACTCTAGGTCAGCTTGGGGAAGAGGAGATAATGGGCTTTCAGAGAGAGTTTCAGTGCCAGTGCTATAGTGGCTACCAGGGAGAGGGCTGTGGCCAGAGAGACCCCCTACAGCAAAGAGGTATCGCATCTTCAGTCATGGGGACATGGGTGCACTGTCTGCTTCTGCTACTCATCACACTCCTGCTCTGACTGATTGCATACATACACAGTTCATACAGCTACATTAAAATGATTTAATGTGTACTGGTATACACATGACATTATCTACACACTTCCACAAATGCACAAACATTATAAACATACACTGGGGCAAATGCAAATGTATTCACTGCGGCCCAGGTTGCTGAAAGGTTGGTGAATCTATGATTAGATGGTGGAACACTGTGGAACACATACGTAGAGTTATGGTTGTTTGTGTGTTTTGATTTTCTTGATACATTGGAGGGCTTGCTGGAAATAACTTTGTTTACATTGCCCTCTCTCTCTCTTTCTCAGTTTCCTCCCCACAACCACTCCCCCTCTCCTCCCCCCCCCCCCCCTCTCCCCCCCCCCCCCCTCCCTCTCCTTTCCACAACCCCCTTTCCTTTTAAGTTGTAATTTTCTCATGATCCCAAAGCTTATGCTTTTGTGTGGTAGTTTTCAGCTTATGATGTATGTATGGGTTTGTGTTATGTGTGTGTGCCAAAATGGGACAGATGCACTTGATTTTTTGAATAGCACAAAATAGTACTTAGTGCCTGACCTTTGACATTTTTATCTTTAGGTAAAAGTTCATATTTATATGAATGTATTTTCAACAAAAAAAAGAAGCTTTTGTTATTTTACGACAAAAAACAAGACTACTATTTTCTCTCCAGAATTGTGCGTCTCTTTTATTGTGTACTGTGTTTCAATCTCTCAAAATAAATCAAAGCTGTAACAACATCCAATACAAATCTTGCAGATGCATCACTCTTGCTGATCACTAGTGTTTCTCTTACCTATACAACTGCCTCTCTCTCTCCTTTGTCCCCGGTGAATCCAACAATCACAATGTACACATATGGGCTATAGGCCTAGACCTATAATACAGGCTACTTTTGAGAGTGGATTTGTCTGGCACAACATGTTACTTAAAGCACTACCCCTTCCTCCCTATAATTGTCTGGTGGAGCCAGGCAAAAATTATTTCCAGCTCTTTTCAGCAATACACGTTTCCAGGAAGCTGACACATTACCGAACATTATGGAAAGACTGAATTCTGAGGGCAAGTTTCCACAGATCTATATATCTTTTGAAAAACAGTTTAGGGTTTTTACATCCAAATTGGTGGGCTATAGGCTACCCTCTGATGTTGGGGTCAAATAAAACGTTGTCTTAATCATTGCCTTACTGTAGCCTAGGCCACAACACCATCTTTGATTTAACGGCCCTCCTCTAACATAATTACAGGTTGCCTCTAGCCAAAATTATTTTTGGTCCTTTGAAGTCTTCAGCAAGAGTTCCTAAAGTTTTATAGGCCTATGTGTTTAGATACATTGCAGATAACCAGGTCTGTTAAAACGTAAATGCACGTAGCCTTTTTGTTTTAATTATCTAATGAATTCATTCATTCAAGACAGTGCATTCTATAGGCCCATGCTGAGAGCAATAGTTTCTAATAATGTATATAATACACCACACCGCCAACCATTCACGAGATGAATAGGCTACGGTGGTTTTTCTAAACATAAAATATCTTGGTGGTCAGATTTAGTTGAATTTAGCAGTAAATGTAACAAGTTAAAGGCCTATATTATTATTATAAACAATCTGCATCGTGAAAAGTAATGTAAAATTGCTTATAATGCCATTAATACTCCCAGCTCTTATTATTTCTGGAAGAAAAAAAATATATATCTAAAGAACTTCGCAAACCACCTGCAGTACCCCCGCGGACCACAGGTTGACAACCACTGGGCTACAGTAAACTGTGCATACCTTGGTTTGACATTTCAAGATCGCAATTCGATTCACAAAGGCGATTCAGAGCGAAATACATTTGTTCCTGTATCTTTAACAAATGTTGACTGTATGAGAGAACGTTCTGCCTCGTCCTCTTTTGATTGGTGTTTGGAAACTCCCCTCCGCTGGTTGTTGAAGATGCACTCGATTTAGTTCGCGCGGTGCAAATGGTGATCCGAATTTGCACTTTGTGCAATCAAAAGAACAAAGTCCGACCCCAGGCATCCCGGACGACCTAAATCTAGCGCACCTACTTCATTCTCCAGACGGTTTTCCTTCCTCTTTCTTCCTTTGAAAAGAGAAGTTGGGTATCAGCAGATAATGCGACAGCAATCACTTTTCTCCATGGTCAATTGACTTGTAAACCAACTATTTGCCCACGAAACCGATGATATGGGTAAGTAGATTCATAAGAAGCTGTTATTGTGTGATTTTGACCTAGCTAAGTAATGTTTATGCAGTGCATATTTGCATTAGATTCCCTTAGCACACTCAAAGTCATGTGACCTACTTCCTCACAATAAAAGTAGACTGGAGAACCTGAATAAGTATGTTCTGACCGTGTCTATCAGGCACATTGCTTTTATTTAAATGTGGCAAAATATGATATAAAATGTTGTGTTTTTTCTCTGCAGGTATAAAGTGCATTTTCCCTGGGGCACTGATTCTTTGTGTGAATGTGGCCAGTATTGTTCTTAGCAGTGAGCATGAAGCAGGAGCATCCCCCACACTGGCCCAGCTGCCCTTCCTCACTGTGTGGAATGCCCCTACAGCCCAGTGTAAGAGCCGCTATGGGGTGGACCTGGACCTGGGAGTGTTCAACATAGTGAGGAATCAGAACCAGAGCTTCATGGGTGACAACATCACCATATTCTATAATACAAAACTGGGTCTGTACCCAAGATACAACCAAGGAGACGCAGTTAACGGCGGGGTGCCACAGAATGCCAGCCTGCTGGAGCACCTGAGGGTTACCTCTGAGGACCTCCGGACCTACATGCCCAATAGATACTTCCCAGGGCTGGCTGTGGTGGACTGGGAGAACTGGAGGCCACTGTGGGAGCGCAACTGGGAGGACATGAGGGTTTACTGGGAGGGGTCCAGGGCCCTAGTGAGGGCCAAGCACCCAGGCTGGAGCCCTGCTCAGGTGGAGGTGGTGGCCCGCAAGGAGTTTGAGGAGGCAGCGCGGGCGTTCATGGAGGGCACCCTAAGGTTGGGGGAGCAGGAGAGGCCCAAGGGAATGTGGGGCTTTTATGGTTTCCCCTCCTGCTATAACTACTACAAAAACACAACATATAACTACACAGGGGAGTGTCCTCAGATAGAGTTGAAGAGGAATGATGCACTGTTCTGGCTGTGGAATGTCTCCTCTGCCCTCTACCCAGATATCTACCTGGATCTGGGGATGCGTGGTCTTGGCAACAGCATCCTCCTCTACACACACCACCGTGTCATGGAAGCCATGAGGGTGGGCGCGCAGGTGACCCCCATGGCCCCCCTTGTGTTTCCATATGCCCGCATTGTCTACACTTACTCTCTGGAGTTCCTCTCTCAGGCAGGTGCCCCCCTGGTTCAGTGTGCTGTGTTGTACTGCAAATCCCTATCGTCTATCAGTGCAATAGTATGAGTCTAAGACTGTTATAGTACGTGATACATACTGATCCCTGATTGCTACTTTGTTAGGAGGTCCTGGTCCACACGATTGGAGAGAGTGCTGCTTTAGGATCTGCAGGGATCGTACTGTGGGGAGACAATGCCTACTCCAAATCTAAGGTATATTACAACTTAGAATTTGGTCCGTTCCCTGCATATGCAAATATACATAAATAATGATTATTTGTGTTTTCCTGTTTTCCAGGCGAATTGTGAGGCAGTCAAAGACTACCTGGATAAAACCCTGGGCCGTTACCTGGTGAATGTGACCACAGCAGCTACTCAGTGTAGCAAGACGGTGTGCTCCTCTCGGGGCCGATGCCAGAGGAGAGACAAAGGCTCCCGTGCCTACCTCCACCTGGACCCCAGCGCCTGGACTGTGGTGCCTGAGAAGAGGCCAGAGGGGGGGCAGCACTACAGGGTGCAGGGCCAACTGAAGCCACGTGAGGCTGTGTACATACAGACCCACTTCCAGTGCCAATGCTATCCTGGCTGGGGAGGTAAGCGCTGCTCCAAGCCCCTGTAGTTCTGAGCGAGACATTCCCCTTGTGTTTAAAGGAGCATCGGTTACATTACATTACATTAGCCCACTCTGATGACTGTACTTCCTCTTATGGGACTCATTATACCCAGTCCTGAGCCAATAAGGTATAGCGGTAAAACAATTAAACCAGTGTTGTTGCATTCGTGACCCTCATTCAGACTCCCCCTGCTCAACACCAATCTGCCTCTGACCACTCCAGATAGGCGGGTTACATGTTACCAGTCGGATGAGTTTACTAGTGAACAGTTTATTTGTACATCATTTAGAAAGCCAGGCATAAACCATAGTTGACATTGACATTTAAGCAGCATGTCTGTTTAGAAAATTGTTTCCAGACATTTTACAAAAGTAGAAGTGTCATCTCGTTAAATTACAGTTTATGACCTGGGATTATTCCTATTGGTTTCAAACACGTCACAGAAAATCAGTGGTTAAGCTTAAAGCTTGAATCCTTAGTTGAAACAATAAAAAAGGGATCATTCCGCCTCTGTTTCAGTAAAAAGCTGAGGGATGGGCCTTTTAGAAATGTAACCACTCTCAAATTCATAGACAGAGCTATGGATGCAAGGACTGACCATCCATGATATCAAAATTATAGTTTTAACCATGTTATGATGGTATACAGTGTTTACATTTACATTGTTTACAAACATTGGAGTAAAACAAGCTTATGTTTTGGGTTCTCATGGGGTACGCGAGTTGAACTAAGCTCATGAGGCATTTATAAGTTATATTCTTCAAGAATCAATGGGTATATAGTACCAGTCAAAGGTTTGGACACACCTACTCATTCAAGGGTTTTTCTTTATTTTTACTATTTTCTACATTGTAGAATAATAGTGAAGACATCGAAACTATGAAATAACACATATGAAATCATGTAGTAACCAAAAAAGTGTTAAACAAATCAAAATATATGTTATATTTTTGATTCTTCAAAGTAGCCACCCTTTGCCTTGATGACAGCTTTGCACACTCTTGGCATTCTCTCAACCAGCTTCACCTGGAATGCTTTTCCAACAGTCTTGAAGGAGTTCCCACATATGCTGAGCACTTGTTGGCTGCTTTTCGTTCACTCTGCAGTCCAACTCATCCCAAACCATCTCAATTGGGTTGAGGTCAGGTGATTGTGGAGGCCAGGTCATCTGATGCAGCACTCCATCACTCTCCTTCTTGGTCAAATAGCCCTTACACAGTCTGGAGGTGTGTTCTGAGTCATTGTCCTGTTGAAAAACAAATGATAGTCCCACTAAGCGCAAACCAGATGGGATGGCGTATTGCTGGTAGCAATGCTGGTTAAGTGTGCCTTGAATTCTAAATAAATCACAGACAGTGTCACCAGCATGATTCCATGTGTGTTATTCCATAGTTTTGATGTCTTCACTATTATTCTACAATGTAGAAATAGAAAAAATAAAGAAAAACCCTTAAATGAGTAGGTGTGTCCAAACCTTTGACTGGTACTGTATATCATTCATAAGTCCAAAAATGGATGTAGCAACTAAGGATTCTAGCTTTAAAATAATGCTTCATTTCGGGGTTTTACGTTTTTAAACCTATTAGAACTAAGGAGATCCGCACCAACTGGAGTGGTGCTTGCCAATTTCAGCTGTTAGCTAATTGTAAAGTGATTCTTGAGCACCACAAATGTACTCAGCAATTTACCGGAACCCTGTGGGTGTATACGTGACTCATTAGAAATGTGATGCAATGCACTCATGATTGATACTGAATGGGTGAATGTATTGTCTACCAGATACTTCAACTGATTTTTTTATTTTTTATTTTACATTAAATAAATGATGTATGTTTTCATTTCACTGGCATATCTGTACTAAAATCACAATGGCTAAAACAATTTCAGCACAGCTGCATGTAATATCCCAAACTCACACCACAGTGGAACTATTTTGGATGTCTTGTACCCACACTCTCATTTAGAAAAAACATTGTTATTTGTAGACTCATGTATGTGAGCTGTTAACAGAGGACGAGCATGCTGAGCTCTGACAGGATTCTCTGGGTATTCTACTTCAGGTCTGTGACCACCAGGTGGTGGTATGTAATAATCAAACTGAAACAAGCGCTTAACCAAGGCTGTATATGTAACTACTACTGGTCACCACAGCTCAGAGTGGATTACGTGGCTCTTTAATAAAGATAATTGGCCCACAAAAATGTATGGATAATTTCATGCCTCAGTTTTGAAGTGCTCAAAATACGTGTGCTTATCCACTGTATTGAACTGACAGCCCCAGTCTCCGTGTCGTCTTAGGAACATGTGGCGACCCTGATGCCCTTGATTGATTTTTACGCAGCATGTAAGACCCTGTCTCTTCTGATAGCTGCTGTTTCAATGTGGTGTGGTTGGCTGTAATTTGTCTTGCTCCCTGGAGGATGGGCGGAGTGGAGGAACAGACTCCCAGAAGGCTTGCTGTTTCCCACTTCCCTCTTTATCACAGCAGACTGGATTGGGGGGAAATGAGGGAGAGATAGGAGAAATTTTTCAAAGTAGGAGAGAGATATCCAAAGGCTGCTGTTTCCACACGATCTTATTCCCATGTATGGATACTGTGCTGAACTAGGAACCTTTAGAATTATCAGAACTGTGGTTTTGGACAACATTGACTTTAATTACACATTACATTGTGTAATTACACAATGATAAGTAAAAAGACGAGAACAACTTAATGTTATAACAATCATAATAATACTTTTTATGCAACGTGTAGCTGTTATATTTTCTCCTCTTGCCAAGACTCCAAGACTGAATAGCGCTGACCTGTAGCCTTCAGGTAGATAAGCTATAATGAGCGGCCACTGTGAGCGTTATCTGGCTCCTGCTGGAAACACAACTCTCCAAACAAGTGGCCCTCTCTCCCGCTGACTAACCCCTGTCTGTCAGTTCCAGTGAGCCGGACCCTCGCTCTTCATCTCTCTATCCTCTCATCTCCACGATTTTGGTGTCTCGCTCTGTCACCCCTCTGTGGTCACGCCTCCATCTTCCCTCCCCCTCCCCTCCCCTCCCCTGCTGCTCGGTCTAGAGATTGTCTCGGTGGCTCTTGGTATAATAAGTGGTTCGTCACACTCTGTCTCCTTCAAAAGAGTCAAGACAGATCAGGCTCCATAGAGGTTTGATGTTCCTCTGTATCTCTACAAAGATGTGTTGTCCCTTATATGCGTGAGCAAGCCTATGTTTTTGTTCATTGATTTTCACCATGGGAGTGGGAATCAAGTCAAGTTTATTTGTCACATGCAGAGGTACACATGGTACGCCGTACAATGAGGTGGTTGTATACCAATTGTGACCATACTGGCTCCAATTATTTGTTACTAATGTCATCCAAAATTATATTTGCACAGTAGGTCAATGCACTATTTGTGACTCTTTCACAAAATGTGGAGACTGTCACACAAAATGTTCTCTCACACTTCAATAATAATATGTCCATCAAATGTAAGAAAAGGACATGGGGGGGGGGTCATGATAGAGGTCACAATGTCCTATTTCTCTGAGATGGGGCTCTGATTGCACTCACTTCACTGAATGGCCATTTCTCCCTCTGAGTGGCAGACATATCCTATCTGGCTGTTGTGCATGTCATATCAACGCAATGCCTGAATGCAGACTGTTTCAAGATATTCATTTTCTTTATTCATGGAAGATAAATGAATAACCTTGTATAAACTCTTTCTCAGGGGTATGACACGAGAGGAGTGTGTATCTCTGTGTGTGCAGGTGTGTGCACATGGGTTTGTGCGCCTACCTGTGTGTGTGTTTGTGTGTGTGTGTGAGTTGAAGATTTGCTGTCTCTGCAGTATGTGTCCTGATGAGAGGTGACCTGACAGACTGTCACATGTGACTTATCCACCGATGTGCAGCTCTGTTCTCAACCCCTCCACCCCGCCAGACCCCATTAGAGCTCAGTGAATACCACCACACACAAACACACACACACACACACACCAAGGTTAACCCCATAGACCTTCAGCCAATGAGGGAAACCTGCACTTTTCAGATAAGTCATCACATTCATTTAAATGTGATTTATTTTTGTAAGCAGATAATCAATTTCAGCATTTTCATTTTACTGAATTTTGATCTAAGCTCATTTGAATAAAATGCTTTCTCCATATTAGTCTGGGTAATGAAGTGGATCTTATATCTTTTGTTATGAGAGGAGGCTCTCGGTAGTGGTACAATGGAGGAGAGGACTGACATGCTGGTCACCTCACCATGGGGAAATGCTGATTGGATTCTAGATGGGAGCCAGTGAAGAATACGAATAATGTCTTGTAATTTGCTACAAAATAACGTGGATATCTTATCATCAGTCTCTAGGGACAGACCTTAAAATACCACTCATCTCATACAATCGTATGCACACAATCATATGTAAACGATTGTAAGATCGCTGCCATTGCAAAAGGGAAGGGATCACTGAAGCTTCCTCGCTTTCCAACCAAGATTGCTGCCATTGCCAAGTGTTTTGTGTTCCTTTTTCAAACAGTCTCTGAACATTAATATCAACCTGACAAATGTTGGGTTAAGAACAGCTAGCGCAATAGCGATCCCGTGTGTTGGAGGGCCTTAGCACATACCGTGCTTGGAGCTGATTTCAAATGAACTAAATCCTGACACTTAGTGGCCTTGCCTAGGCCCTGGGGACCTGAGAACCTAGTCTAAGAAAGCAGACAGCTCTGTAACATCCCTACTGCCTCCTATAATACGTATGCTATGTCTTTTAAAGATCTCATTGATCTCAATCCTCAAGCTGATCCAGCTCTAACCAGTGAGGGAGAGGGAACGAGAGGATGAGAGAGATTAGAATAATTTCATTTGCATATTTCTATACCCGTATTTTAAAAAATCCACAATTCAATCAAATGATGTCTGTCTTCTTATAATGTTTTTCATTTAATTCTTGGAGAGTTAGCTTGCCTTGCACGTTTATTTAACTTAAAGACCCTCCAAACATGAC